ACAATTTACTGCTCTTCGTCATAAGGTTGTATGAGCCCCAGGTCTAGCCACTTATGTGGGTCTCTCTTTCCTATGAAGACCTTGATGTGCATGTAAAAAATTAAACATTAACGTCAAATAAAACGTATACACTTTTCTCCTGTTCCTCTCTTATGTCGGTTTGATTCACAAGCCCCAGTCACAGAGCTTAAGAGTGATCTCTGCGCCACTCATTTTGTTCTTAAAGGAAAAGGCATCACAGAAGCCGGGGGCTTTAAGGCTGTCATCTCTCTGAGGGTGGCCACCTCCTGCCCTAGGAGGAAACGGCACCTGGCTCCTCAGTGCGTCCCCAGGCACAGGCTGCTGCTGGAAGGGCGGTGGTGCCCTCTCAGGGCTTCCGAGTGACAGGTTTGGGGGCGCATTCCCAGACTCCAGCTTCTGTGCCACGGAGACTGGGCTGCTCGGCTGGCCTCAGCCTGGGACCATGCATCCCAAGGAGGTGGGGACCACTCACCTGGTGGCTTCTGTCCAGCGCTGTGGGGTCACAGCCCGAAGGGCGCTGGGAGGCCATTCCCGCCCTGTGTCACTGCTGGGGTTGTGAAGGTTTTCCACTGCCCTTGAAATAAACCCAACAAGTGACCAGCAAATCTCCAGAGGCTGAGCAACCCCAGATCCCCGTCCTGAGGAGCTGCAGGGCTGGGAGACTCCGCAGCACCCAAGGGCTTTGAAGGCGGAAAGCCCGGCCTCGGCTTGGAAATACGCACGTGAAATTGGGAACCTAACCAGGAAGAAAAGTCTCCTCCTCCCCAGCTGCTGCGGAGCCTCTGAAACCCCTGCCCAAGCCGAGGTCTCGCTTCTGTGGTCTCAGGTCCTTGCAGTCAACCACAGTGTGGAAATACTGAAGGGAAAACGCCAGCACACAGGAAGGGCATGGTTAAGACGGAAATGGTGCCTGCGGGAGCGAACCACACACCGAGGGCGTGGGTAGCCCGGTTTTGGGGTCCTCGGGGCCTGGAAATGCACCCCTGGGAAGAAGAGAGACCACCTTGGCAGCCATGAAGCAAATCCTAAGATTTCCAGACTCAAATAACGTAGAGGCCAGCAAATCTATCCAACTGCTAATTTTAAAAAATGGTCACTCTTAAATATCTCTGGGCTTAAAAACAAAACAGAAACTCAAGTCTGGGCACTCGGGGTCAGAGCAGCCTGGCCCTGGGCAGGCCGAGAAGGGGCGCAGTGACCCTGCCCGGTTCCGGGAGCTTGGACGGAAGTGATGCTTGTTGTTGGTTGGGTTCTGATCCTACGTGCATTTCCAAGCTTAGCACACTGCCGGTGCTTTAGGTTTTCACATCTTTGAAGATACTGATTCTAAGTTTTGAAGCTTTTCAGTAGCTTTCTGCATTAATGTTGTTCTCTTTAATTTACTTTTGTCAATTTGTTTATTTTAATCTCTGTGTTAGGATCTTTCCTCACAAATCTTTGCTACTTCTGGCTATGCAAGAGCAAGGCTTTAGAAGGGTCTTACCGTGGCATTTGGGGGGGGTTTACTGATTAGTGAGCGTCATTTCATGGCGATAGTTGTTTTTATTTATTTTTTTTAACCAGAAGACTCTCCCTTCAGGCGCATGGTGGCATATTTCCTCCTGCAAACCTCTGATGAGAGCCGGAAGCCCGGCCACCTTCACTCTGCAGGGCGGGGTGAAGGAGGAGCCGAGCCCTGGCCTCTGGCCTTGTGTTCTGCCTAGAAAGCATTTCCAGGTCTTATCTCGAAAGTGAAAGTCATCATCACCGCAGTATAACAGAGCTAAATGCCTGCCAAAGGCCCTCGGTGCCGTGTCTTCCCTTTGGCCTGATCCAAGTTCCACAGCACTGAGGCAGGCACAAACTCTTGGGCCGCGAGGCAGATGCCCAGCTGCGGTGCTCCTGTGAGGCGTCCTGCACTTCTCTGAGCCTAGGGCTTCCTGTGTCCTGAGACGGCTCAGAATTCCACCTGATATATTCTCTGGGTGACTGCTAGGGCCTTCGTGGGTTCAATGCTCCCCCAGCCCTCTTTCCAGTACTGAGGGTGGAACCCAGGGCCTGTGTGCTGACCTACATCCCCAGCCCTTTAAAAAAAAGTTTTTTTTTTAGTTAGAGAAGGTTATTAGTTGCTCAGACTGGGCTTGAATTTGTGACCCTCCTGCCACAGGCTCCCACACTCCTGGGGTTATAGACCCACACTGCCGCCCCTCCCCCTCAGCCTGGTTTCAATCCTAATTCAGTCACCCCAGTGAGGCTTTGGGAGGCTTTGTGGTAAATCCATACACCCAGTCCCAGTGCTTTCCCAGGTGTGTTGCTAGGCTCCTCTCTTGGTAGAAGCAGGGGGTCTTCTTCATGGCCCATCCTGAGCACCTTGGAACCCTTTCAAAATTGGTTCCTTTTGTTCTAACTTCTCTCTGGGACCCAGGTAAATTATCTTAATTTGTTTTCCTTCTCCATCAGTTTTTTTTCTGCTGCTGGGCATTATAATATCCTGCTCTTGGGAGACTGAGGCAGGTGGATCAGGATTTCAAGCCCAGCCTGGGTTACACAGCAAGTTCAAGGCCAGCCTGAGCCTGTCTCAACAAATGAAGAACAATAACAACAACTCAGGTGTGGTGGTTCACACCTGTAATCCCAGTACTCTGGAGGCTGAGGCAGGAGGGTCACAAATTCAAGCCCAACCTGGGGTGCTTAGTGACTTAGTGAGGACCTGTCGCAAAATAAAAAAAATAAAAGGCGCAGGGGAAGTAGTTCAATGAGAAGGTCCTGAATTCAATCCCCAGTACTAAAAAAACGAAAGCTAACTTTACAACTATTATTTTTTGACAGGTATTATTCTTTCCCTGTTTCTTTGCATGAAAGATTTTTTTTTTCTTCTCTGCAACATCTAACTCAGTGCTCTGTGTGGGTGAACAAAGAGCGCCTCTGCAATGACCTAGAGATAAGGAAGATGAGGATGAGGTGTTTGTGAGAAGAGGTTTGCCTAGTAACTCAGTGTTTGGTTTTCTTCATGTCCAGTTCACTTTTTCTGGTAGTCATGGGGCTGGACCCTCAGGCTTGGTGCAGGCCGGGCAAGTGCTATGTCAGGGTGCAGCACCCTGGAGAAAGAACGCTACTGTGCAGAGACAGCCCAGGGCAGCGGCAGGCATTCTCATCTCTCCAGAGCCCCTTGCCAGGTGGCTGATGCAGGTGAGGGTCACGGCTGCCTGGTGGGCACCTTCTCACAAGCGCAGGGTTGTGGCCAAGCGACATGCAGCTGATCCTAATCACCTCGTCACAAGACACATTTCAGTCCTGCACACTGCAAGCCAAAGATCATTATTTCCTGGGGCCAGCCCTGTCATTGATGGATAACACAATGGATAGGCCGGAGAGGCTGAGGGCCTGTGCTGATCACCAAACTCAAGGCCGCAAGAGAAAATGCACTTCACACGAGCATCCTGCAAGCCCAGGGTCACAGAAGGTAACCGGGGGTGGGGCAGGAAAGGGAGTGTTAGTGCTCAGTTTCACACTGAGAATGGGAACCTGAAACCTGCGCAAGAAGAGCAAAGGTCATTCAACAGATGGTTGGGGATTTCAGCTATTCAGACCCTGATGTTTCAGCTCACAGTCCTGCTTGGGAATCTCAACAGCACCCTACTGACTTTTACTGCATTTTTGAAATTGACCAAATGCTTGTCAAGCTCTTATGTCTGCACCAGTACGGGCCACTGGGCAGTGTGCATGTTTTCTCTAGCTTGTCTTTTGTGATGGTGTCTTAAAATTACATGCAGGAAGAATTCTTAAACTTTGCTGGGGCATTGGCATCTCTGGAAACCTGACCAGGTTGATGGACTCTTGTGAGGGACACTGTGGCTTCAAAGCTCTGGTCAGGTCGTCTGAGGACATGTAAGGATGTGAACCCCCTGTCTAGTGCAGGTGCAGAGCGGGTCACACTTATGCAACCGCGACTTAGCATTAGATAACCACACTTGCGCTGCATGGTTAAGCATACAAGAATGTAAATCAGTCATAACAGCACATATAAGAAACAAACAATACAGATGCAGCTGCTCTTTCTTGCTGCTGCCTGCCTTTTGAACCAGTGTCTGCCCTGAATGCATCTTTTCTCTGGGGATCTCACCTGCAAAAACACCACTCCAGACCCCTCAGCCTTGACAACTCTGTATTTGGAAAACGCACATGCATACAAAAATTTAACTGTCTTAGCTGGTTCATGAATGGCCTGGAAGCAGCCGAGGAAACGATGGTAAGAAATCCCAGAATGTGATACTGTTCAGATATTTGGGACTATTGATCAAAACTTAGAATAAGCCCAATGCATTTCATCAGATTTAATAGCTTTGCTAATCTAGGAGTGGTGCAGGACGAAAGCCTTTCCATACCAAAGCCGGCACAGAAAGACAAGGCAGGCAGCTTGAGGCACTGGAAGTGAAACAACAGAGCAGATTCACCTGGGGTGGGAGCAGTTACTGGCGCACCGGGGCCCTGGAACCGCAGGGTCTAACCCAGATGGGAATGTCCACTTTACACCCCATCAATCCATGGGACCAAAGTTCTGTGGGCAGGGCCAGGTTTTTAAAAAACTTTATTAGCACGTATTTGTCATACATATTGACCCACACCTAATACATCTTAATTCTTTTTTTCCCATTCCCCTCCTCTCCCTTCAACCATTCTGCCCTTCCCCACTCACAAAAGCGGTTCCCATTTTTCCTTCCTTGTCCTTTCTTCCCCTCCCCGTCCCTTCTTCCCCTTCCCGTTTGAACAAGTTCTTCCTGCTTCTCAGCATCTATTCTCCATTATGCTCCTGTTTACCCTTTGGGTTTCTCACACAAGAGAAACAATGCAATATTTAAAACCTGTGCGTCTGATTTATTGCACTTCAGATTATGGCATCCATTTACCTACAAATGACTAAAGTTTATCCTTCTTTATGGCAGAGTAGTACTCCACTGCATAGAAATACATTTTCTTTATTCATCTGCTGATGGGCATCAGAGCTGTTTCCAGGATTTAGCAATTACAAACTTTGCTGCTATAAACAGGGTGTGCGTACGTTATTGTGGAGTGACGCTTTTAACACTTTGGGGAGGCCAGAAATCTGTCTGAAAGGCACCCTGGGTGTGTGTGAGGGGGTGTTAGAAGCCACTGCACAGGCTTGCAAGGAGGCGAAGGGGCGCTGGTTCTGATGAGCCCGGGGGTGGGAACTTAGATCACGCGGCTGTGCAAGTTTAAGCAACTCCGACCGGGCTTCCAGTCTACACAGCCTGCTGTTCTCTGAACCGTGAACTGTGAAGACGCCGAGGTGTCCGCCCGCGCGCATCCGAGCTCGTGGCAGGGGTGCCCAGGAACGGAGTGACAGAGGAAACGGGGGTGGCGGGGACCAGAGCCACGGCGCCCCAACCCCGACACCCCAACTCTGCCACAACTACTCCAGAAGTCCGCTCAGGCTGCGCCACACCCTGGTCTCACCGACTATTGTCACTCCCACTTCCGGTATGCCGGCTGCATGGGCTGGACGCTCAGCCAATCAGCGCCCTGCTTTCCTTCCGGTGTTCTGCGTGCTACCATGGAGACGGTCCAGGCGAGTCCAAACGCGGAGGAGGGCTCGGCCAGCCATGCTCTAGTGAGTCCCGCCTACCACCACCGTTTCCCGCCCAGTCCCGGCCAGTGAGCTCACCTGGGCGGGCCCCGCCCATTCACTTCCGGCCAATGAGCGCCCGCGCTCCTTCGGCGTCGCGCGCTGCCTGGGAGACGGGCGGCGAGGCCGGCGCGGAAGGTGCGGCCGATCAGGTGCGTGGCGGCTGTGGACT